TGGTTATACTCATTATACCCAGTGAGTGTATTGAATAAGTGACGTAGGCTCACTCAGCAACTGGGTGGTAGTTTTCTCACCGGACTCAAGCATGCATGTTTTAAATTTTGAGCCTCATCAGTGTCTCAAATTACTACATGTGATAGATCTTTGGATTTGTTGACCAAACCAATTACTCAGTGCGAAGGATCCATCCACACAGGTTTTCAACATTGGTTCTATGGCTAATTATGCATAAGGACTTGTGTTTTTGTGAGATTCTTTTATTTTCCAAGGATAAGCAAGATACTTCATATGATATTACCAACCAATGTCTTAAACGAGAAAGCTTGTGGTAAGGTTCCCTACTGTCAAATTTTAACACTTGGTGCAGAATTCCCATTGCAAATTTTCACTTGGTTTTCCAATTAAAACAGGCTTTTGTGAGTCCCCTGCTGATAGCCATTGGCTTGATAAAAAGTGACTTCATTTGCAGCAAGGGTGTTTAGGGATCCCTGAGCAAGGCTGACTCTTCTGCTGTTGCCTTGAGCCCAGCTGTGCCGAAATATTAAACTTTAGTAAATTAGGTAAAATTGCAGCTTCCTAGCTGCTGCAATAAGGCCCTTTTCTTTTTTCTGTGGACTATCTTCAGAATGAGTTGTCTGCACAATTCTTCAGCTCTTAGAGAAATAAAATTCTGATTATCTTCCAAATCCAGGCTACTCTTCCATTTTACAAATAATTGTCCCAGGTCCTTCTTATCTGACAGAGTGCTTAAACTTTCAAATATGTAGAAATGGATTACTGTATTATTTCAGCCCTACCTGAATATGACATTACTTTATTATCTCATACTTGGGAAAGTACTAGGTCTGCAGAAATCACAGGCTTGCATAAAAGTTGTTACGTTTTCTTTCTTGATTACTGTGCATTTTAACAACAATCATGAGCTAAGGAAGTAAATCACACTTGCAGTAATTTGCATCTAGTTCTTAGATGTTTTATTAATTGACCAGATAGCCATAGATTAACTACTATGGGTGCAAAACTCTGGTTGTTTTCAACCAAATCTTTATAGTTAATGTGCAATTATCCAAAAGAACTAAAGAGCTTTGCATTTCTGATTATTATGCTTTCTGCTTGACATGTAACTAACTCATTGGTGAAAAGTCTACAAGTACCAAAACCAAACAAATAAACCCAAATTAATTGCCATTGAGTTGCCTTTGACTCATAGCAGCTCCATGTATATCAGAGTAGAGTTATTCTCCCTAGTGTTTTCAATGACAGAATTTGAAAGTAGATAATCAAGCTTTTCTTTTGAGGCACCTCTGGGTGAACTCCAACTTCTAGTCTTTTAGCCAGCAGCTGAACTGTCTAGCCGCTGTTACCATGAAGAGACTCCTCTCCAGTACACTGTGCTCTCTGTTGTGGTATGTGGTTCACTTATTTATTCAATGATTTACATTATTTTCTGTCAAGTTAAGAACTTGTACAAGGCCCCAGGAATTGATGGCATACCGATTAACTTATTTCAACAAACAGATGCTGGCCTGGATGTGCTCTCCAAGTTGTGCCAAGAAATCTGGAGGACAACCACCTGACCAACTAACTGGAAGAGATCTATATTTGTTTCTATGCCAAAGAAGGGTGATCCAACAGAGTGCAGAAATTATTGAACAGTATCATTGATATCACATGCAAGCAAAATTCTGATGAAGATTATCCAAAAACGACTGTAATAGGTCATCAACAGAGAATTGCCTGAAGTGCAGGCTGGGTTTAGAAGAGGCCTTGGTACTAGGGATATTATAGCTAATGTCAGATGGGTCTTGGCTGAAAGCAGAGATTACCAGAGGAATGTCTATCTGTGTTTCATTGACTATGCATAGGCATTTGACTGTGTAGATCTCAAGAAACTATGGTTGCTTCTGAGAAGAATGGGAATCCCAGAACACTTGATTGTGCTTATGTGAAACCTACACTTGGACCAGGAAGCAGTCATCAGAACAGAGCAAGGAAACACTGCATGGTTCAAAATTGGGAAAGGTGTACATCAAGGATGTGTCCTATCTCCATATCTTTTCAATCTGCAGAACAGATTATCCGGGAGGCTGGGCTCTGTGAGGAGAAGTGGGCATCAAGACTGGAGGTAGACTCATCAACAATCTGCATTATGCAGATGACACAGCCCTGCTTGCTGAAACTGAGGAGGACCTGAAGCACTTGCTGCAGAAGGTCAAGGACTGTAGCCTTCAATATGGATTAAAGCTCAAAATCAAGAAAACAATGATTCTCACCACTGGGTCTATTGGCAGCATCATGATAGATTATGAAGAGATTGAGATTGTTAACAGCATTAGTTTGCTTGGCTCTACAATCAACATTATTGGTATCAGCAGGGAGGAAATGAAAAGATGAATTGCATTGGGAAAATCTGCTGTTGGAGACCTCTTCAAAGTACTGAAGAGCAACGATGTTGGTCTGGAGACTAAGGTGTGCCTGATCCAGGCCATGGTCTTTTTAGTTACTTGTTATGCATCAGAAAGCTGGACAACGACTAGGGATGATAGAAGGAGAATTGATGCCTTTGAGCTGTGGTGCTGGAGAAGAGTATTGACTATATCATGGACTCCTAGGAGAACAAACAGGTTCGGCCTGGAGAGGGTGAAGCTAGGCTGCTCTTTGGAGTCAAGGATTCTGAAGCTTCATCTGACATACTTTGGACATGGTGCAAGGAGGGACCAGTCCTTGGAGAGGGATGTCATGCTGGCGAGGGTGGAGGGACAACGCAGGAGAGGAAGACCCTCAATGAGATAGATTGATTTCATCACTGGGGTAATGGGGATAGGTGTGTCAGTCAATAAGATTGGCATGAGGTAGAGCAGAGTTTAGGACTTTTGTACATAGTGTCGCTATGAGTCGCAGGAGACTTGATGGCCCATAACAACAAACAACAACCTCTGCGAGAGTCTGTTTATAAGTACAAAATGTTGAAGTTTACTTATTGAAGCTTTTTGTAAATCTAAACCTTTCAAAGCACCCTTGGATATTTCCAACTTGGATATTTCCAAGTTTTTTTGCGGGGGGGGGAATTCAAGCGCATCAAGTAGAATGAGTCATATAATAAACTACAGTATACCCACCACCACTCACTCACACACTCTAAGTCTAAATAGAAAGAAACTGTCCATCTTCCTTTTGCAGAGTCTCTGGGGGATTAGAACTGTCAGACAGGAGGCCTTTTGGTTAGCAGCAACATCCTTTAGACTCCACCATCAGAGCTCCTTAACCTTACTCCTGCTCCAGGTGACTCAATGGCACATAACAAGAACAACAATGACATATATGATCAACATAGTTCCAGTTGCTTGACCTGCCATAGAAGTCTACCATTCCTGATATTAATAGCTCCTCCTTTACTCAGTTTCTAGCTCCTTTGGTTCATTGATTCACTAGAAGTTCTCCCAGAGACTCAGACCTATTAGGGGAATGACTCACATGACTGCAGGTAGCAGGCTGGTTTTGGAGAAACTGGTGAGCGAGGGGCCAGGATCCTGTCGACTGCTGGTGATGAAGGCTGGTGGTGTAGAGAATGGTGAGCACCTGAAAGCTATGTCCCAGGAGAGCCAGCTTCTCTAAAAGAAAAAAAAAGATGCCTGGAGCTGAGGTCCTGTGAGCTTCAGTAGTATGGGGCTTGTATCCCATCCTAATCCTCTCCCTCTTTAACACAACAATTACTTCAGCACAAAACAAGCAGTTAATCACTGGCTAGAGAACATCTAAATGATAAACCTTACACATGCAGCTACTCTAGCTTGAGAAAGGTTCACTCCCGACTTACTGGAGAAACAGACTATATGCTATTGTAGGATCACTTTTCGGCCATAATGAGGTAATAACCAATGATCCAGATCGGCAATGCCATGGATTCCATGTTTCAGAGTTGAACTGTGCTCCATTCGCTTTTAATGGCTGTGACTTTTCGAAAGCAGATCATCAGGGCTTTACTCTGAGAGCACGACGGGGGGTGGGTTTGAACTGCTAACACCTTTCAGAGTCTCCCTGTGAAGGACCCCATAGTAAATAATTTGGATTTCCTGCCGTATGGTCTCTATGACTATTCTCCAAGTCTACCCTTGTAGCATAAGAGCGGCCATGAATTAAAATAAAGGTAGGGCAGTGGGCATGTTCGAATACAACTATGAGCAAAATCAGGCCGAGTTGGGCTAGATTTGGCAAGCCGGCTGCAGTTTGCCTAAGGCTTTTCTGGCTTCTGCAAGTCAGTTCACTGTCCCTTTAAGCTTGGAGTTTCATTAAGTACTGGGAGGTCTTTGCTCCCAATCCCTTTCATGATCCACTCTACCAACTAAAAAGTCCCTAACAGCTTTGTGCGTGGGGTGATCAGCAGGACGAGCACACAGTTTTAAAAAGTTTCCCGCGAGGGTCCTTTCCTGTCTCCTCTTCTGCGCCTCCACACCCTCGGTCTCCAACGCTGGGACACGGAGTTATGTTTGGTGGGACGCGTGGGCTTCTGGAAGAGCACGCGGGCACTCAGGAGAAGGTGAGGGCGCGGAAAAGTTGGAGACCAATCAGCTCGGAGTTGGGCTCTCGTGCCCCAACCTTCAGGTGACCCCGCGCGGCGGCAGCGGCGGCAGCAGCAGCGGCGGCGACCAGAGCCCGAAGCAGATCTGAGCGCCTCCGGGAGGAGAGGCGGCGAGCTCACCGGCGAATCGTCATCTGCAATCCGAGCGCCGGGAGAAGCAGTCCAGCGCTGTGTGGGAGCACAGAGAGCGAGGAAACGGCGTCTTCTCTTTCGCATAAAAATTGTGCACGCTGGGGAGGGGGCGCCCCGAGTGTGTGGGCCCGCGCTGCGCGCTGTCGTCGCCCCTCGCAGCCGCCTTTGAACACTGGGGGTGTGCGTGGCTGCGGCCGCGGTGGCGGCGGCGGCGGCGAGCGCGGGGAGTCGGGGCCGCCCCGGCTGCGCTTCGCCGCGGCGGCGACGGCGCCTGTGGCTCAGGATGCGGCCGGGGGGCGCGCTACTCGCCCTGCTCGCCAGCCTACTGCTACTGCGCCTTCTCTGGTGCTCGGCCGACACGCCCGCCCGCTCCAGGTAACCCACCGGCCCGCTCGGGCAGTCCGCCTCCACTAGCCCCGCGCCTGAGTGTGCGCTCTGGGAGCCTCAGCTACCAGTCCACCCATTTGGGCGCGCGCAGACTTTTGGCTGCCTCGAGGAGAAACCGACGGGCAGTGGCGGGCTGAGAGTTGGAGGTTCAGGAGACAGGGCTAGAGGTTGGAAGAGTGGGCAGGGAGGTCCAGGGAGGCGATACTTGAACTGAGTGGGCACTGTGTGTGGGGTGAAGGAACAAGGAAGGTTGCGAGGAATCCAGCGAGTGGGTTGCTCTTGCCTGGGAAGCTGCGGAGCTGGGACTTGCCGTCCGTCTCCCAATCGGTATTCCTGGCTCTATTCTGGTCCCTGCTTGACCTTCTTTTCATCTCCAATCCCATTTGAACTCTGTGATTTGGGACCTGTCCGTGGAGCAGGGGCGAGCGGAAGATGTGTCTGCCAGGCTTTGAACCTTTCAGCGAGTTGATCTCTGAAAGATGTGACAACTTAGTTTTCTTTCTGGTTGTGCAGGCTCTTGGAGGAAAGCAGAGAGGCCACCTACGGCACCCCCGCAGCGCTGAGGTTGCTCCGGAGCCCTTCGACCCCCGTACCTCGCACCACGAACAGGTATTGGAGGCGCGGAGTTGCGCGTGAGCGGGATTCGGCTCTGGGTCTTGGGCAACAGGATGGGGCGCAGCTACACTGCGAGGTTCTTAAATGAATGAGTGTGATTCTGAGCGTGTGAGCGCGCGTGCCTGTGTGTAATTCCACAATCCTGCAACTGCCTTTTAATAAGCCGGTTCCTCGATGGGAGCATTCTTCGAATTAAGGAAATAGGAAAACAGCTGCATTTTAAAAACTGGATGCCGAGTCTCCCTCTTTACAATGGTGTGTTAAAAATCCCTGAGAGGAGCAGCTCGGCTTGTACTTACTGAGGGATTTTATTGGTTTGCTTTTCTGGCTTCTGCGCTTTAAAGTGCACCAACTGTTAAAATTCCGGTTTCGAAGAATGGAATTCTATGCACGATGTTTAGAATGTTTTCTTGGCCTTACTGTGTAGAAACTTTTATTTCATTCATAAGAATATTACCCACATGCAATAATTATTTGACTTTATCCTTTTTGCTTCTGACTGAAAAGTAATACATGCTTCGTGATGAAAGACATGATAGATACATAAAAGGAACTTGTTATCACTTAGAGCCCCCACCACCCAGAGATAAATCTAAGAATTTAGTTAATTTGCTAACAGCAGTTTTTACCCTGTACTTGTGTATTTTAAAAACACAGTGAATGTTATTCTTTTTTATATTTGCTTCCCCCCACCAAAGAGACATACATATATGCATGTCATTAACAGTTTTCCAAATCATTGCTTTTGATTGTTGCATAATTCATCATATGAAGTACTATAATGTATCTTTCTATTTTTAGAAATTTAGGTTGTTTCTTGGGTTTTTGTTTGCTTGTTGCGATCAAGAATTTTTTAAGATGTACATCGTTATATACACATTTTTAGTTCAAATGAAATTTTAGAACAAACTGTTAGAAGTTGGATTGTTAACTCAAGAACATGTACCTTTTAGGCTCTAAATGTATATTGACAGTTTCTTCCTAGAAGGGTTAAATCAATTTATATTTTCGCCCACAGAAGGTTGTGCCTTGGGCCCCACCATTGCTGTTATTCCTACAGTCTGTCTTTCCTCATCTCTTGCTCATTCTTGAGTCCCCTTTCCACTCTGTAGTCTGTATAATCTTCATCTTCTGATTGCATGACTCAGGACTCTGTGCGGCTCTGCATGATCCTATGGAGGATTTTGGAATTCCTGGAAGGATCTTGGAATTCCTGGAAGGAGCAGCACAACCCCTGTCCCTCAACTGTCAACTGAGAGGTGGTCAGTTCAGACCTACTAATTGCTCTGTGGGAGAAAAGACCTGGCAATCTATTCCTGTAAAAATTAAAGCCTAGGAAATCTACGGCAAAGTACTGCTGTGCAACTTGGAACTGATTAGATGATACAAAAACAACTGGAAGAAATCCTGGGCTGACAAAAGCTTTTGGGAAAATGGCTTGTAGTTTTATTTTATAACTGCATTTGTTATTTAAATAAAAATTTTACTTAATACTGGTTTACTTACAAAGTTCTTATACATTGTTTTTTACACTGGATCATTCCCATTACCTTTACCACCCCTACCCTCCACCCATCAAATTGAATGACCTTGTGATTACCACCCTTGGACCTTCCTGTCCTCCCATCCTCACCCCTCTGCTCCTACCCTTCCCCCTTCCCACCTTGGATCCTCATACATGTTTTACTAGTTATCTTTCTATTTCTACAATTATCGGCTTATCCAGTATTTGTCCTTATGGGACTGAGTTAGTTTACTTAGCATAATGCTTTCCATTTCATTCTCTCCCACGTTAGACAGTGATTTTAAAAATCCTTGCTCCTGCCTGCTGTGTAGTATTCCATCCTGTGAATGGATTGTAATTTCTCAATCTATTCAATTGTGGCTAGACATTTGGGCAATTTCCATGTTCTCATGGTGGTGAATAATGCCGCTGTGAACATTGGTGTAACAAATCTCTGTGTATCAGGTCTAATTTTCTCGCAAGTAGTGGTATAGCTGGGTCTTATGGAATACCTGTGTTCAGCTTTTTGAGGAAATGCCGGTGTCTTCTAGAGTGGATGTACCGTTTTACAATCCCATCAGCAATGTATTAGAGTTCGTATCTCTTCACATCCTCGCCAACATTTGTTACTTACTGTTCTGTTAAACTTTGTCACTGTTACTAGGGTGATGTATCTCATTGTGTTTTTTATTTACATCTCTCTTATTGCCAGTGATTTGGAGCATTTCTTCATGTGTCTGTTTGCCATTCTACTATCTTCCTTTGGGAAAAGTCTTTCCATGTATTTTACCCATTTTGTAACTGGGTTATCAGTCTTTTTCTTGTGGAGGCCTTGTAGGATTCTGTAAACTTTTGACATGAGACCTTTGTCTGAAAAGGTATTGTCAAATGTTTTTACCAGTCAGTAGGTTTTCTTTTCACTGTGTTGGATTTTTTTTTTTTTAATGCACGAAGAGATTTTTATCATTAGAAGGTCATTCATCAATTTTATCATCTCCAGAATGTTCATTTCTGGCTGTATTTGACAGTCTCTTTATACCATAGACTAGGCTGTCTATGCTTGATCCCTGTTTGTCTCTTATGAACTTTATGTTTTGGGCTTTACTATAAGCTTTCTAATACACCTTGAGTTGATTTCTGTGTATGGTGTGATGGGGACCCTGTTTCAGCTTTCTGCAGGTGGCAGTCCAATTTTGCCAGCACCATTTGTTGAAGAAGTTGTCATTTCCCCATTTGATAAGTATCATTTCCTTGTTGAATATCAGTTGACCATAGATACATGAGTCCATTTCTGGGTTCTTGATTCTGTTCCATTGGTCTATTACCAGTACCATGGTGTTTTGGTTACTACTGCTGGGTAGTAGGTTTTGAGGTCAGGGAGGGCTATGCCTCCCATTTCTTTTTTGTTTTTCAGAAGTGCTTTGCTTATTTAGGGTCTCTTCCCTCTCCAAAGAAACGTGACAGTTTCCTTTTGGTCTCCTTGAAAAAGAAATTTGATAATCTGTATTGGGGTTGCATTGAACATGTAGATTGCTTTTGGTAGGATTGTAATTTTCACAATATTGAATCTTCCTATCCAGGAACAGGGAACAGTTTCCTATTTATTTAAGTCTTTTATTGTGTCTTGCAGAGATATTCTGTAGTTTTCTTTTTATAGATTTTTTTTATCTTTAGTTAGGTTCACTCCCAAGTTTCTCAGTTTGTGCTTGTCTATCGTAAATGTTGCTTTCTTGGTTTCCTTCTCTGAGTTCTCTTTGTTACTATAGAGGAATCCCACAGATTTGTGAATATTGGTCTTATATCCTGCCACTTTACTAAGTTGGTCAATTAGCTCTAATAGTTTTTTTTTAAATTTTCTTATTATTAATTTCAATGGAAATTTACAGAAACTTTGGATTTCCATTCATTCATTGTTGCACTTTTCTCTCTGCCACCCCTTCCTCCCCACCCCCAAGTACACTCTTCTCTTGAAAAGTAGAAGAAAAATTCTTTCATTGTTTTACAATCCCTCTCCCCAGGTCCACTCCACTATGCAGCCTTCGTTCTGGACTCTTGTCATGACAAAAATACCTAATCCAAAGCCCTTTTAAACAGTTTTCTCCCTCATCTGTTTCAATGCAGTACACATTATTTATCCCATCTTTCTCAGTCTCCCCTCCAACCCTGATATCGGTCCTGTTTCATAATAGTGGCACCATGCATTATTTGTCCTTTTGTGACTGAGATATCTCATTCAGCTCAATGTCCTCCAGAGTCACCTATTTTGAATAATATTGCGTGAATCCCTTTTTTTAATGCAGTGTAGTATTCCATTGTATGAATATACCACAGCTTCTCTATCCATTCATTTGTTGATGGGCTCTAATGGGGTTTTTTGTTGAGTGCTTGGGGTTTTCAGTGTATACTATCAGATCGTTTGCATATAGCTGTAGTTTAGCCATCTCTTTGCTGGTTTAGATGCTTTTTATTTCCTTCCTTTTCTTGTCATATTGCCCTGTCAAGCACTTCCAATACGATATTGAATAGAAGTGCTGACAGTGGGCATCTTTGTATGGTCCCTGTTTGCAAGGAAAATGCTTTTAGTTTGTTTCCATTTGGAATCATACTGGCTCTTGGTTTTGCATATATACTTTTCACTATGTTGGGAAAATTTTGTTCTATACCAATTTTGCTGACCGTCTTTATCAAGAAGGAGTGTTGAATTTTGTTGCATGCCTTTTCTCTATCAATTGCTAAGATCATATGATTCTTGTTATTTGCTTTGTTAATATGGTGAATTACTTTGATTGGTGTTGTGTTTTTTTTAATGTTGAACCATCCTTCTACCTCTTATGAATCCCTCGTGGTTATGATGATTTGTTTTTTAATGTGCTTTTGGATTCTGTTGACTAGGATTTTGTTAAGGATTTTTGCATCTATATTGGTATTGGTCTGTAGTTTTCTTTCTTGGTAGTATCATTGCCTGGTTTTGATATTAAGGTTATGTGTGCTTCATAGAATGCCCCTGCGAGTGTTCCTTCTTTTTCTATATTTTTTAATACTTTAAGTAGAATTGGTGATAGGTCTTTTTTGAATGTTTAGTAGAGTTCAGCTGTGAAGCCATCTGATACAGGAATTTTCTTATGGGAAAGTCTTTTTATGACCTGTTCAATTTCTTCTTTTGTGATGAGTTTTTTCAAGTGTTCTACATCTGTCCTTATCAATTTGGGTAGGGCATGAATTTCCAGGAATTTGTCCATTTTCTTTAGGTTTGTTTGGTTTTTTTTAATTTATCAGAGTATAGTTTTTCATAGTATTTTGATATCATTGGTTTAATTTTATTTGGGTCTGTTTGATGTCACTTCTATAATTTTTTTAAAGAAATTTTTTATTTTATACTGGTTTACTTACAAAGTTCATATAGATTGTTTTTCACACCCCTCCATCTACCCTTCAAATTGTATGACCCAATGGTCACTCCCCTACCTGTTCCACCCCTGGGATCCTCATA